AGTAGGTTGGAGGCCATCGCTAGTAGGTTGGAGGCCATCGCTAGTAGATTGGAGGGCATCGCTAGTAGGTGGGAGGCAATCGCTAGTAAATTGGAGGCCATCGCTAGTAGGTTGGAGGCCATCGTTTAGTAGGTTGGCGGCCACCGCTAGTAGGTTGGAAGCCATCGTTTAGTAGGTTGGAGGCCATCGCTAGTAGGTTGGAGGCCATCGCTACTAGGTTAGAGGCCATCGCTAGTAGGTTGCCCATCTCTACTAGGGTGGAGGCTTTCTCTAGTATGTTGGAGGCCATCGCTAGTAGGCTGGATGCCATCGCTAGTAGGTTTGAGGCCATTGCTAGTAGGTTGCAGGCTAGTAGGTTGGAGGCCATAGCTAGTAGGTTGCAGGCTAGTAGGTTGGAGGCCATAGCTAGTAGGTTGGAGGCCTTTGCTACTAGGGTGCAGGCTTTCTCTAGTAGGTTGGAGGCAATCGCTAGTAGGTTGGAGGTGTCTTTATTGCGGTCTGTCTGTCTGTCTGTCTGTCTGTCTGTCTGTCTGTTTGTCTTTCTTTATTTATTTATTTATTTTCTTTTCTTTTCTGTTCTTTCTTTCTTTCTTTGTTTTTCTTTCTTTCTTTCTTTTTCTGTCTTTCTTTCGTTCTTTCTTTCTGTCTTTCTTTCTTTTGAAATGTTGTAGTTGTTGTTGCTGCTGTCATCGCGGCAGCAGCAGCAGCAGCACAACGTCAAGAATATGCTGGCACGTATGGCATTGAAGCGTCAAAATACAGCACTAGCAACCTTCAATTGCAAAGAAGGCAGAACAGAACGTCCCCCTTCCATATGGGCATGACTTGGCACATCCCTTCTGCGCAAAATATCTGCCTTTACGCTCCGTGTGAAGTTTTGCTCATGGTGTTGTCTTAGGTTTTGTGTCTCTACCTCTCACAAACATGCTTCTTCTTGACTCCAAGAAATGGCATTCTGAGCAAAGGAGACGTAAGCAATTGGACCACGCAAAACCGAGAAATGCCATGTGTTTCACACTGCCCCGTCGACTGCCGTGACGCAAAAGTATCGAGGATAGATCTACCGTCAAGCTCCGCCTGGAAGCCTTCGAGTGTGACACGTTCTCGTTCACCACATGCCTAGGAACAAGGACGCTACTGGCATCGCTACTAGGAACAAGGACGCTACTGGGGTTCCTGGCCATACTACTAGGAGCAAGGACGCTACTAGTAACAAGAAGCTACTAACCAAAACAAGCTTGCAAACTTGTCAAAGCCATGGCCTCAAACCTACTAGTGATGGCCTCCACCCTAGCACAACAGAATGTGCAAAAAACTTTAGACTGTGGACCTGCTGGAAAACCGAGTCTTTCGAAGAGCCTTTGCTAATATGGTCCTGGCCGCACAAGCCAAAAACAAATCTTTGAAGGACAAAAACGGAGCAGAAAAGCACAAGCACCAACAAAAACTGAAGTGAAGGAAAAATAAATGGCCCATAGAAGAGCAAGCCATGATGATGCCGACAAATTGTTCTCCTGAACCAAACCACTGAGGCGGTGCAGGTTCCCACGGACCAAGAAACTAGAACTCGCAAGCAAAGGCTCTGCGGCGACCTTGTTCAACGCAAGAAGCAAAAAAAAAGAGAGGGCAAAACTATTGGCGATGGCCTCCAACCTAATAGCGACGGCCTCCAACCTAGTAGCGATGGCCTCCAACCTACTAGCGATGGCCTCCAACCTAATTGAAAGCGATGGCCTCCAACCCAATAGCTTTGTCGAACAAAAAGCAATGCCCAAACAATATTTGAGCCACGGTCGACATTCATTCCTAAACCAAAGGACATCAGGATTTGGTGAGTGCCTCATCGCTTTTCAGGTTGGTGGGTGTATTATCGTTTTGCGGCTAGAACCTGCATCTTTAGATCCCACATGCATGTGTAGTCTTCCGTGATTTTTGACCGTACCTTAAATGTCCTGTTGAACGTGTATCTTAGAAACATAGATTGTTGGCGAAACCATGGGACAACGAAGTAGGCTGGTATAAGCATGTTGAAGACCAAACCGGAAAATGAGTGGCAGAACGAAATAGCAGGAGTATGATGGCATATATCTGGAGTGTGCTCGGCTTGTGGCTCACACGGATACCTTGCATCATTGATCTTCAAAAGGACACACGCCAAATGTTCAGCTGAGATTCCTCAACCTTCTTCACCTCTCGCTCCACCTTGGGATTGAGACTAACAACTCATTGCTTTCCAGGTAGGTGTCAAAAAGAACAGCCGCAGTAAATGCGAAGACCTCACCTGAGCCTTGATCTAAGCATAGAGGAAAACAACTGTGACTATGTACAGACTATGTAGTACCAAGGTCTTGTTTGCAGTTCAATGCAAGTGAAACGGCCTTGTAGTAGCATCATGTAGAATAAATAGAGTTCTTGTTCCAGGCAAGGATGCAAAAAATAGGCAAATCAGCCCTCAGGGGTTGAGTAGTCGCATGTTGTTCAAAAAGCAAAACTCATGTGACGGGGGGTAAGGACCTAAGAACAGAAGTAGTTATGTTATGTTGTGTTGTTGTCAAAACAATGCGTTGAAGCATTGCCATCAACTTGGCCACCAGCCTCATTCACGAGTTCCAACCCCTCCACAGGAGACAATCATCACAGGACCAAGATATTCCAAAGAAAACACAAACATAGAAGAACTACCTGTCCAAGCGATGGTTTTGCTTCACGGCTTTATCCTCCAACCTAATCGCGATGGCTTCCAAGCTAGTAGCGATGGCTTCCAACCCAAGAGCAATGGCCTCCAACCTACTAGCGATGGCCTCCAACCTAGTAGCGATGCCTCCAACCTAATAGCGATGGCCTCCAACCTA